CATGTGGATGCTCTGTAGTTATGTTCTAAGGTATGGCCCTTCAACTCGAAAACTTTGGTCATTATGATACTAACGAATACTGAAGAGTAACTACGAGGAAGAGATGGGGACATCTGAGGTGGTATGGATGTAGACGTCAAGGAAAAGGACAAGCCACTCTTGACAATAAATTACTTTGGTGCCTGCTAGCTATGCACGGTCCTTCCAAGAGCACACAAGTGTTGGCAGCGAAGTCTGTTCCTCTGGGAGTCAAAAGGAAAGCCTAGCATGGTAATTCACACCTTTAATCCCAGCACCCAGGAGGCAAAGGCAGGCGCCTCTCTGTGAGTCTGAGGCCAGTGGGACCTGCACAGAGAGTTCTAGAATATTCAGGGCTACACAGTAAGACCCTGTATCAAAAGGGGGGTGAGGAAGGAAACTTAGAAAGGAAAAGGTGTGAGGATTCTAGAGAATGCTTCCCTAAGAGATCCAGAGCAGAAACCTGAGGATATCACCCTTAGGAATATGGTGTGGGACAAAAAAAAAAAAAAATCAGTTTTCTTACTGGAGGTGCTGGGGAGAGGGAGCGTCAGGCCATTTTTCTTGCTTTCTTGTACAAGCGCTGTTATAGCTCATAGTTTAATGCTCATCGGCAAAAGAATTGGGGGAAGAATGCAGCTGAGAGGTAATGCCCTTGCCTAGCATGTGTGGTACACACACACACACACACACACACACACACACACACACACACACTTAAATGGTAATAATTCAAAGACCTTAAGATATAAAGAAGTGCTGTAGAATCTTACTTCTAGTAAGAGCTCAATACAGAGTCTGTTGTTACATGTTTTGTTTGGTTCTAGTTTTCTGAGATAAGACTCCAACTCTGTTAGCCCAAGCTGACCTGCAATTGACTACATAGTTCATGTTGGCCTCAAACTTGAGGTAATCCTCTGTCTAAGCTTCCGAAATACAGGAAGTACAGGTATGAGTATTAATAAATCATTATTATATTATGACAGAATGAAGGGATACTTCTTACGACAAGCAAGTTCAGGTAACCCAAGACTTAGAAATTTAGAATTTCATTCTAAGTAAAGAGTAGCTGCATATAAGTTATATATAAGAAAACACAATGTATAATCACATATTCTTCTTACATAACAAATACAGTTGATTTTAGAAACGGAAAAGATCCACAGTAGGAAAATACTGCTTAGAGGAAAAAAAAAATGGAGATGGCAAGCTAAATAGTCATGCTTATAACCCCAGCAGGGGTCACAGAGGATCATGAATTCAAGGCCAGTCTGAACTACATGGCAAATTCAAGAACAGCCTGGGCTGTATAATGACACCCTGACTCTAAAAAGCAAAGTGACTGAGCTAGGTCCCCAACGCCAATACCTTCTTTAAAAAGAGTGAAAGAGTATCTAAGTTGCTCAAGTGAAACCACCACTTCCTGGGGAAACTCACATTTTGTTCATTTGCTGGTGGGACAAACTCTTACTAGCTTTGGCATGAAATGGGGCAACATGGTTTACTCAGCTCTTAAGTGCCTGAGTTGGGCAGTGCCTTTAAAAGGGTCTCTGGTCTTCTACAGAAAACAGTCTTCTATGCCTTCGTGTGAGTTTATAGACATGTTCTCAATCAAGGTCATACTGCCATAAACAATGAATACTTATTTTAAGTAAATAAAAATCACTTCTAAAATTGCTTCAGAAGGAAAAAGTGGGTTTTTTTTTTTGTTGTTGTTGTTGTTGTTATTTTAAGTGATTGACAGAACTCACAAACTGGCTGGGTGTCCCACAGTCTGCGTGGGTGGCCAACACGCCTTGTTACATTCAAGTTTTCTGCCAGGTTCCTAAACAATCAGTTTGTAATCTCTGATAGTGTTTCTCAATGTGGTAATCTTTGTTTTTCCTGCAGCAGTTCTACAGGATAAGTGTTTTCTGCTCACAATTATAAATTAGGAAACCCACGTATGTGAGCAGAGCTTTTCATATATCTCGACCAGCACTCATAGTCTTACTTTCTTGCTACCTTGGGAATCTATTGCTATTACTTCAACCAACCAAAGTCACAATTTCCTTCACCTTTATAAAGCATGGGCCGGGGCTGGGAGGGGGCACTGGACTGGACTAAGAGCCGGTCGCAAAGACCACACGGAGCTGGTCCTGGGAGCAGATCCTGGGATATGGGAGGAAGCAGGTTCGGGAGACAGGACTGGTAGGGGAGAGGGAAGCGGGTCCGGGACGGGACAGGGCATAAGGAAGAAATGAGTCCGTCAAGGGACCCGAGGACTGGACCGAGGGAGTCGGGTGTATGTGTTAGGACGAAGCCCAGAAGCAGCAAGCTGTCAGAAACCGGGATCCGCACAGATGCCCACCAAAGTCCCGCTCTCCCTTCGCCCAGACGAGCCTTACGATCAATGCAGAAGGTGACGCTCCGGTGGTGAGCCTGGGACCGGAGAGCGGCACGCAGACAGCCAAGGCGCCGGGAGCCACACCGCAACATTGCCACAGCTGCTTCTAGTCCTCAGACCCTGGACCAGCTCGCTCGGGCCAGAATTTGCAGGTCGCGATTTTCCCCGTGGCACCCTGGGAGTTGTAGTCCATCAAGGCCTTGAAGCTCGAGCTCAAGAAGGACTACTGGGGTAGTGGGACTACAGTTCCCAGAGATTCTCTGGGCGGCGCCGCTGAGACGCGTCTTATGCAAAGTCGGCGGGGGCGCGCTAGTCTTCTCGAGGCATTTTGGAGATCCGCCTGGCGGTGTTTATCAAAGGTCTGGCTGGTGTGTTGAGAGAATGGTGGCGGGAAGAACGGAATAAGGGACTAAAGAGTGTTCAGGGGCAGATTATGCGAGATGGAAAGGGCGCAGATAACGGAGGGGAGGTTTAGAATGGCTTAATCATGACTTTTCTTCACAAGTCTCGGGCCCTTTAGGCTTCCTTGCCTCCATCTTGCACCGTGCAGGTTTTGGAAGACAAGAGTTGCTTCTTGCATGTCCGGTTATCTTCAGCCTCCTGCAGAGCGAACATGCCAAGACCCCGGAAGAGGCTGACTGGGGCACCTGGCCCAGGTGAGCTGCACCTAGGCTGCAAAAGGCAGCAGGTGAAGAACTCGTCTGTAAGGCGTTCATTGCTCGTTTTTTCCACTCCCTGGTTTGGGAGGGAAACCTTCAAGGCTCTTACTTAACTGTCATCTTGACTCTTTCTGCCAAACTCCCACTTGAAGTCCTTACCACTTGTTTGTCCATTCAGAAAACAACTATTAAGCACTAAGAATATTTGCAGTACATACACGTACGGGGCTGTGGTGGCCCACGCACGTGGGAGGTTGAGGCCGGAGGATTGCCTTGAGTTCAAGACCAGCCTGGTTACATAGGAGTGAGTACCACGCCAGTACTACATGCGCAGGATCTCCAAAAAGTGTGTGTGTGTGTGTGTGTGTGTGTGTGTGTGTGTGTGTGTGTGTGTGTGTGTGTGTATTCTTTCTAGCATGGGTGGAAACACTATATTTTTAAAAGTACATTTATTTACTTTTTCAAGGTGTGTGTGAAGTGCGTGCATGCGTGCGCGCGCACACACACAAACACACACACACACACAATCACACAATTTATTCAGAGGATAACCTGCAGGAATCAGTCCCCCTTTTCCACTTTGTGAATCGCAGGGATTGAATTCAGGTCATCAGTCTTTGTTTAAAAAAAAAAAAAAAAAAATTGCCTTTGCCACCTAAGCAGCCCTTGGATCGTTGCTTTGAGTGAAATAAGCCAGGCAGAGAAAGTCCTGCATGGTTTCATGTGAAATGTAAAAAAGCTGAAAGTAAAGGGAAGATCGGTTCAAGATATTTCTTGACTACATATAGCGTTTGAAGCCAGCCTGGGCTACAGGAGACCCCACCCCACCCCACCCTTCACCCCCCTAACCCCCACCGCACACAGTTTTCTGAGGTTTTTAATCTTACCAGCCTTAATTTGGAATTGCTAAGTAATTGAGAGTGACCTGGATTCCTGATCCTTTTGCCCCTATTCCCAAGTGCTTTTGTTATAGGTTTGATAAATTGTCCAAAACAGTTTTACTTAATCTTAAATTTCTGAACAATGTCTTTCAGAGGCTACCAAAACCTTTTTTTTTCCTCGAGACAGGGTTTCTCTGTGTAGTTTTGGTGCCTGTCCTGGATCTCACTCTGTAGACCAGGCTGAGCTCCAACTCACAGAGATCCGCCTGGCTCTGCCTCCCCAGTGCTGGGATTAAAGGCGTGCGCCACCACTACCTGGCAAGGCTACCAAAATCTTATGTATATTTATTGCTAAGACACTTAATGTAGCTGTGCTGACAAGCCCTGTTGGCTAGGGCTTTCCCAAAGTACTTATCTTGTACCTTATCTACGTGTGCCGTGGCCAATGTGCTGGTGCCTGGAAGTTGGTTCCCGCATCAGATGGGCCCTAGGGGATGGAAGTCAGGTCATCTGGCTTGTCAGTAAATGCTTTACTGCCACACTAGCAGCTGTCTCTTAATGCATGTGCTTACTTTTATGTTAAACCCCTTTCCTGTTTTGAGACAGGCCTCTATTGCCTAGTCTGGCCTTGAACTTGTAGCAAGTCTCCTGCTTCAGGCTCTATAAAGTTCAGGGATTGCAGCCATGAGCCAACATGCCCAGCTTAAAATCTTTTAAACTCCAACTTGGCATCATTCTCCCTGGCCTTGAGATGCTTTTGTGTGTTGTAAGAATCCCAGGTTGTGGGTTCAATGCGGGTTACTGTAGCCAGCTTGCTGTGTTTCCTGTTGTGGATGACAGTGCACTGTACATTTCAGAAAAGCAGGAGCACAGACTTGTAAATGCTATCACGGTAAACAGTAGAGCCAAATGTGACAGCTCATGCCTGTCATTAAGATACCTGCCTGTTCTAGGCCGGCCTGGGCTACAGCATGAGACCCCTGTCTCCAAACCAACCAAACAGAAATCATCTGTGATGGTTCCTCCCTGTAATCCCAACACTTGGGAAGCTAAGGCAGGAGGATTTCTGCAAATTGGAGGCCAGCCTGGGCTATGGAGTTCTGAGACTCTATCTCAAAATAAATTAAGTAGATGCTTCAGGAAGTATATTCAAACTGAATGATGTATTCAACAATGTATACATGTGTGGGAAAACCATGTTGGTGCCTATTAAATATGTACAGTTTTTGTTTTCTATGTCCGTTAAAATTTAATAGAAAAAGGCAATTGACTTTAAAGTGAAAACAAAGAAGATACAGTACCTTTTCCAAGGAAAAATGCAAACATATATGAGTGAAAGGTCCTTAAGACAGATTTGCTGGAGGTATGGAAGGGGTGGGAAGACAGAGAAGGCCTGGAGAAGGAAGCAGAATTTGAGCCCAGCCTTAAAAGAACATGAGGGCTTTCCACTAGCAAAATCCTAGAACTCAGAAAACATGTTTTTTGGGTTTTTTTTTTTCATTCACAAAAAATGAATGTATGCTATGAATAAAGAACAGAAATTGAGCAGTGGAAGGTAAAAAAAAAAAAAAAATGAACCTCTGTTAAGAATTTCAGCTTGATCACAATACATTGTGGTTATTTAGCATAGCATGCCTGATTGCTGTGGGATGGTCTTCCTATATGCTGTGAATATTTGTTGCTCTCATTGGTTGATAAGTTAAGTTGTTTTGGCCTATAGCCAGGCAGAATATGGATGGGCAGGAAAGCCATACAGAGATACAGGGAGAAGGGGGGAGTCAGGAGAGATGAGATCCAGTCGCCTCAAGGAACAAGATGCCAGGGTACTGGTAAGCTATCAGCCATGTGACTAAACATAGATAAGAATTATAGGTTAAGTGTAAGAGCTAGTTAGTAATAAGCCTGAGCTATCGGCTGAGCATTTATAAGTAATATAAGCCTCTGAGTCAGTTATCTGGGAAGTGGCTGCTGGGTATTTGGGAGTTGGTGGCGGGACAGAAACTTCCACTTACACCTATTTTTTTTTATTTGAAAATAGATTATTCTGTCATAAGATATATCCTGACCACAGCCCCCTCCTCTGCTCCTCCCAGCTCCCCCCTCCCTCCCCATCCACTCCCCCTCTGCTTCCCTTCAGAAAAGAGCAGGCCTCCAAGAGGTATCCACCAAACACGGAAAAACAAAATACAGTAAGACAAGGCAAAAAGCCTTCACACTGAGGCTAGACAAGGCAACCCAACAGGACTATATCCCAAGAGCCAACAAGAGTCAAAGACACACCTGCTCCCACAGTTAGGAATCCCACAAAAATACTAAGGTAGCAGCCACAACATACATGCAGAGGATCTAGTGCAGAACCATGCGGGCCCTTGTGCTTGCTGCTTCAATCTGTGAGCCCAGGTGAGCCCTGCCTGGTTGAGACAGTGGGCCATGTTCTCCTGGTGTCCTCCATCCCCTCTGACTCCTACAGTCTTTCCACCCTCTCTTCTTTGGGGTTCCCTGAGCTCCAAGGGGAGGAACCCTATGGAGACCTCCAGTTTAGACTCTGCATAATGTCTGGCTGTGGGTCTGTGCACCAGCTCCCATCTGCCTCCAGCAGAAGCCCCTCTGATGATGACCAGACAAGGCACTAATCTATGAGAATACCTGATCTGAAGGATAGCTGGGAAATTGTGCTAAGATAAGCTAAGTTCAGAGCATCAGACACCCATAAAGATATTGAATGAAGACTGATGTGGTAGCAAACTAGATTCTGAGGTAGTAGAGTAAGTTAACTGTAGGTTCAGACAGACTCAAGTGATTCGATTCAGGGCTTCCTTCTGCCTGGCTGGATTGTGATATGCTGCAGCACATTGTTCAGGTGGGTAGAACACCTCAGAGGCTGTACCAGAGTAGGGTTGGGGCCTGATGTGTCGAGTGATTGCTGTGTCTCAAGCACATTTTCTTTTATTCACTGAGGAAAAGCCAGATTTCAGGGCTGAAGATGTAGCTCAGTGGCACAGCACCAGCTAGCATGTTTGAAGCCACAAGTTGAATCTTGAGAAGTTGGCAGGTGGGGAAACTGGGGCTGATTCTGAAGAGCTATAATCCAAGCTAATCAGGAGGTCGGTTGGTTCATTCTCGGCTCATCTAGACCACAGAGTGAGCTGAAGGCCAGCCTGGGAAATTTAGTGAGACTGTGTCTCAAAATAAAAATAAAACAAAACAAAAAGGGGATGGAGATATAGCTTAGTGATAGGTTGCTGGTCTAGCATAGGTAAAGCCCTGGGTTCCTTCCCCACCATTAGAGGGGGGAAAATCTAGTCTTTACCATGTCTACATGGTCCTGAATAAATAAACTCTTGACATCTTTAAGATTCAGAAAGGCATGCATGAAGCACGAAAAATGTATGAGATGATGATAATGGCTAATATTTACTGGACATTCATGGTAATGTGTAGATGTAACCAACAGTCTTATTAAATAAGAAACACAGAAACAATGTAAAAGAGAAAGCCAAGAGGTCAGAGCTCAGAGCTAAAATCTCACCCTTCCTCCTGCTGTGTCCCAGCTTCCCGAAAGAGAGCTATTTCCTTGTGTGTCAGTCGGTTCAAAGTCATTCTGCCTTCTCATTGGTTGTAAACCCAAACATGTGACTGCCTCGTCACTGCCTGTATGTACAGCCCTCTAGGTCTTAAAGGCATATGTCTCCAATGCTGGCTGTATCCCTGAACACACAGAGATCTATGGGATTAAAGGC